GCAACAAACTGTTCGTAAATAGTTTTGATACTATGAATGTAGATGAATATTTGAATTAAAGTATTATACGTGTCTTGAATCTTTGCTTCAGAGTCAATTCTTTATTCTAACTGTATTTATTTATAGCGTGTATTATAAAAGTTGTTAAGTTTAAAGTGACGAAAAACGTATTGATTATGAAACTACTGTGTACTAAAAGTTTGTATCGAAAAATAATAAACTGGTTTAATCAAAAAAGTACTTGTATCGCTGAAGATCCTCGGAAAGAATTTCTACCGGAAACAAAAAAACAAGCAGATACGTAACAACGGATATCAAACCCCGGTTTCTAACGTTGTAAGTCCACAGACATACCGCTCTGCCACTGGGGGTGCGTAATTTAATGGGCAACATATTCAAACGGATGCACTGCACACAAAACATTAAGTTCATTTAATTCTTTATTATATTTTTTATACAGTTAACAGCTTTATTGTATAAAAATGATGAACATAGTAATATATGACTAAATAAACGTATAAAACGGCTGTAATGAAAGATGAAACAAGAAAAACACAAATTACAACGTTTCAACAAGCTTGCTTGTCATCATGAGATAAACTTGTCGAAACGTTGTAATTTGACTGTTTTTCTTCCCGTATAGCTGTTCTTCAAGTTTATTCAACAGCTACATTACTTTTATTATTATATCCACGCTAAAGATGAAATTTCTTATTGTGGCTGAAAACCTCATTAACAGCGAAGTTACCTAACCTTTAGTCTTCCGCGATAAGTTTACAAATTGCAAAGTTAAAACACTGAGCTTATGCTCTACAGTGGTCAAAACGCATATAACCTTTGTGTAGCTTTGTATTAAAATATTTGATATATCTGATTATTTAACAAATCGTTAATTGTTGGGAAGATGTAACATGACCATCCAAGAGAATTTGGCATTATTCAGCTTTTGTGGTGTGTAATGGATTCAACATGACGTCTGTTTATGTGTGTATTATATAATATATACTATTACTATGTGCTATTAAGCATAGAAATTAACTCAACGAGCATCGTGATGCGCTTATTCATTTTACATCTATCTTTAAAATATTGCTATTTATTATTAATACACGTACACTTATATATAGCTAGAGGGAGTACTTTTGCGCGAGTTTTAATGTTTACATGCTCAATATAAAAACAAACAAGTCAATGGACGGTGTTCGACTGTGGTTTAGCATGTGACAAAGAAACATTTGTTTTACTAGTCGCCGTTGAATATCATTTATTGATTTAGATTTGTCGTCTTAGGTACCGTATCATTTTTCTCAACATAGCTAAATTGTATAAACAGTTCATTAGAATTTAATATGACAAGCCGAAATACAATTCTGGTAAATTGCAATGTAACAATAACATTGTAAGTTGTAAATGTAATTTTCTTAATTTAGCTTAAGAGAGTAGTCTTACTATATTATTATATTATAATACTAACTTAGTCGATTTAAATTTTAAGTTTCTAGTTTGTAAATGTTAGCATGACAGAATTCGGGTGTTGAACTTTGTTTTTCTTGTGTTATTGAATTAAAAAATTAACTTGTAAAAAGGGTAAGTACATCTAACAATAACAGTAAAAAACTTAAGACTATGACTCAGTACAAGTACAACCCAAACTTGGGCTAGTCTAATAGTATGGACGCTACGGTTAATATTTCTTTAGTTTAAGTTTAAAAAATAAACGTGCATTGTTAACAGTTAAGCCTTAGTTACCAATAAACCCAGTGGATTTACAAGTTATAAATTTAACTTAGGTCATCCAGGGCGAATTTACAATTTATAAAGCAGAATTATAAATACAAAGATGTTTAGTGGAAGTATAACCTTGATGGACAGTGTTTTGGGGTTATTGAATGCAAAAGAGAAAATGATTAAATGATGTGTTTTAAAAACTAACAATTGCAACTGGAGCAACAGTTTAAGCAAAGCTAGGAAGTAATAAGTATATCAATCAGATTTATTCTGCAGATGCATGATTAGGTAGAGCCTAATAAATGCAGTGATATTAGTAAATGTGTTAACAAAAGAAAGTCATTGAAGGTGAGTTTATGTTGTAACTTGTATTTTACAAACCTTTTGTCACTAATTGAGTACAGTAGAGTTTTGTCCTCTTGTCTTATTAGCTTCAGAACATAATACAAAATCACAGGCTCTGATCTTGTAATTTTGTAAATTTCATTAAGATCATCTTTTACCCTTTTTTTCTATTAGTCCTCCTCTGAATCATTTCTAGTAAATCAGTATTTTTTCTTAGATAAGGAGACCAAAAACTATATACAGCATTCCAATTGAAACAGGAAAACTAAATTGCCAAATGCACATTCAACTGCTCCAAGTCATTCTATAGTACCTCAACATCCTTAATACAAGTAGAAATACCAATAAGCAAACTTTTAACAAATGTACTAATTATGCTTTTATCTCATTATGTGAATAAGATAAGCAAAGGCCCAAGAGCTAACCTCCAAAGCACTCCATCAATAATAAATGTTCACTTTGACTGGTGTAACAGGATTATAAAGTTTGAAACAGTTACTATGTCATGTCCTGTAGTCATAGACTCGAAGAATATCGGCCATCTCATTTCTCTAAACTGTGCTGTGTGTATTCTGATTCATGATCACTAGATCATATGCTGAATCATACTTAAGTTATTTTTGTATGGGAATGATTTAGTTTCAATTTATTATTTATATTAAATTAAATACTGTGATTATATCTTATCTTTAGATTGTTGTTTGGTTTTTTCATTCTAAACTGTGTTAAATACAATTTAATTAAACTTTCCATTAGGGTACACTTGTATTTATGAGCTATTACAGAGTTTGAAAGGGTGATTGCTTGAGTATTGACATTATTATATGTATTTTGGTGTGTAAGAGCTGGCCAGTATTAAAACATGCTTTCATTATTAAATTTTGTGACATTAGAGTTAACACTTATTGTAACCTCTGTGTTTAGTGTAATCTGTAATGAGAGAGTGGTTACAATGGACTCTATTAATAATAAAAAAAATTTCTTTTCTCTCTTCAATCCAATTGAATAGTCTTTCACTTACTCCCATTGATGTAATTTTCATAGCTAATATTTTGTTTGGAATCTTATCAAAAGCTTTTTGAAAATCTTAAGTACATCAATTCCAATCCTTTCCATGATCCAGATAACAAGTAACATCCTAGAATAATGTTAACAGAAGAGTGAGGGATAGTTTTCATTTTAATGTTGATTTTTAATGTAATCTTATATTTCAAAATTCTTTTGTTGAGTCTCTATAATTTATCCCACTACAGAAATAAGACTAAATGACATAATTTCCAGGGCAACTCTTATCACCACATTTAAAAATGCATAACATTACAATTTTCTAATATTTTGGCACCCATCCACTGTCTGTTAACCTACCAAAAATGAAAAGAGAAGCTTGCATATCTGATCTGTGACCTCCATTAAAACCATGAGAAAAGTTTTTCTGGTTCTGATGTTTTATCTATTTTTAATCTTTCAATCAGTCTTTTTACTAGCAAGGGATTGATATTTATATGATTTATATTAATGAGTATTTGTCATTGACTCTCATAGATCTATGTGTTTGTTAATTGTCTAGCAGCACAAATACAATATTGCTGTTGCTGTCTGCATATTTCAAAATGCATTCTATGATAGTTAATGCACTGCACACACGCCCCAGTCGTAGGTATATAGATCAGAAGATAACAGTTATAACAATTAATGGCATAAAATACTTGTGGAGTAAAGCTAAACTCAAACACATGAATTAATTCTCTAAGAAGTGAAGGAGAACTGTGAGGGACTCTGATTCAGGTTTTCAAAATAGCCTGCTTGATTTCTATGAATTTTAGAAAAAACAAGACTGAAGATTCAGGTTTGAAAAATGCAGTACCTTGTTACAAATTTTGTAAGCTTAAATACTGATTGAGCCTAGATAATTAAAATCTATTGTTTGGGTGGTAAAAATGTATAGTGGTTTGTTAAAGGTGGTTATGTAATTAACTTGAATTTTTTTGGAATTATTTAAATACATTGTATGAACAGAAAAATCAATATGTACTTGTTTTTCTTCCTTAGTTACTGCTTTTCAGTATGAAAGATTGATTGATCTTGATGGGCTAACTTGGCCTTCTTTTGTCTTATTCTATGTATTAGAATTAATTCTTTGTTATTTTCTAGTTAATACACTATATAAAACATACTTGTTTGCTAACTGAATATATATATTTACAGGCAATCATTAAGGTAATGTCAGTAACCATCAAACAACTGCCAGTTGCTACATCTCATCTCTTGGCAAGTAGCCAAGTCATAACATCATGTGTAAGTGTGGTAAAGGAACTTGTAGAGAACTCTCTTGATGCAGAGGCTACATCAATAGACATCAAGCTAGTAAGCAGCACTTATAAATATTTTAGGAAAATATTTTTAGTATATGAAATATTCATGAAAAAATATATTAATAATATATACTTTAAGAAGTTCTCATTAATTTAGTTTAATTGGAGTTTTGTTTCTTGCTGTTTAGTAGACAAAAGTATTAACTAATATTTGTTGTAGATTTTATTGATACATATACATCACAGTACTATTTCTTAGTGAAAGATGGTGTATAGCTGGCTAACTTTACAGTTTCAAGCTATATTAACTTCCATTTACTAGCTGAATAGATAATAAGGAATGGGTGCTACTATAGCACACATTTCCATACATTTATTTTAGTGATAAACACTTAATTTGATAGACCTGGGTAGGCGACATATGGCGGT